CTCCTCTTGGACGCGATGGCGACTCTGCATCGAACAAGACGAACTCAAAGAAGAGATGCTAGCGGTAAATATATGTTTAGCCTGCTAGGCTAAACGCGGCCTAGCCTGAGCTACGGCTAATAGCGGCTAATAGTAGCCTAGCCTAAGCTACCGCTAACAGTAGCCTTGCAAGAACAAGCTTTATTAAAGTGTATTTTTTGTGATTTACAGGAAGCAGTATGCCGTCTTAACAACTCGGAGACTAATTGCAGGCGCTATGAACCGGAGCAAGGGTAAGATTTAAAGAATATGCTTTTATTCTGCGGTAAAAGGCAATGGATACGGATAGATACCGATCATAGCTTTACATTTTGTTTTCACAGACCTCCTATTTGCTCTGAGCCATCTCGGCAAGTCCAGATTTGCACGATGTTGATAAAGACGACATTGTGTGTAAGTGACTTGTTTTAATGTTTTCTCCTTCCTTGTTACTGTGACTTGCGTTTGATTATTTATTTATAGCACTCTCATTTAATTGTTTTCCAGCTGCCTGTAAGACGTATTTTCAGACGGCACGCAGGAGCTTCAGATATACGCTGCCAGCCAACACGCTGCGTGCATAGGCTATCTGCTCGGAGTCGGGCCAGAAGAAAGAGGGTAAGACTTTATTTGGTGACTATTTTTCAGGTGCATTTATAGATGTGTTGTGTCCATACGCAGTGCGCTGATTCATTGTTTTTTTTTTTTCAGCTGCTGAAAGCGAGGCAGAGTGTGCGAGCAGATGAGGAAGTGGAACTCTGTAAGTCCGCCTTCCTCGGCGGTGTCTCTGGATGGATTGTACGGTCGCCGCCATTTCGTAGGCCGGATCTCACTGAACTCTGTGTTAAGCTGCAGTCCCGGTTAGAAGCGATAGAACAGGGCCACGCACACTAGGCGTCTGCACATCGGACCTGCCTCGGAGGGAATGCTGCCAGTTACCTCCAACCCCGAGGAAGCAAACGGACCGTTCACGGACTTTTAATTTTTAGAAACGCATGTGTTTGGATACGCGTTGTATATAGTTGTGTGTGTTTTAATAAAGCTCTTTCTTTGCATAAACAGCTTCCCGGCAAATCTTCATTTCCTGTATAAATTCATTCATGTCCTTGATGGTAGCATAATAATTGTGTAGTAGTGTAGGATAACAAATACACACTATATGAATGAATAAATATATGAATGAATAAATATATATATATATGAATAAATATATATATGTAAATTTATATGTAAATATATATATATGCCAACCAATCACGAGCGACTTTACTTGTTTAAAAAGAAGTGGTTCCGTCCAATACTCAGTAAGAAAATTAAAGCCTGGCGTGGCCACGTGTGGTTTTGCTGCCAATCACGAGCGATTTCATTTGTTTGAGAATAGTGGTTTCAGCCAATGCTGAGTAGGTTATTCAAGCCAGACCTGGCCAGCCGCGCGGGTTTGCTGTATTCATATGCTAATTAGGGCCATTAGTACAGCTGATCGCTCTCCACCTACGTCACTGTCCGTTTCCGACAATTTGTGGCACGACAAACGCGGACAAGCACGGGTTGCAAATTGTCGGAAACTGACGAAAATCAGGCAGATCTGCGGGAGTTTACGGGGGTTTACGGGGACGAAAATCTCACTTTTCATGCAGTGTAAATTATGGACGCTACCCACTCAGGACACTTGGAATACATTGGACGAGCAGTATGGAGGATTATTGACACGTTTTTTGTGGACTTTTATGGACCTTTCTGCCTTGGGCGCTGGGGACCTCCATTATTTGAATGTCAGCAGACAGGAAGAAGCCTCCCAGATCTCCAGATGCATTTGAGATATCAAAAAAGTACTCCAGAGTGTTGTTCAGCATGGGGGTGAGTAGAAAATGAAGGCTAATCATGTTTTGGGTGTACTATTCCTTTAATCCCACCAACACGTCTTCCATTGAGGAAGCAGAGCCTGGAGGCTCCGGCTTTGGTCTCCCATCTCTGTTGCTGAAAAAAAAGCTCCTCGTGGCAAGTTTCCAGGGGAGGATAACATTCGCCCTGAGTACCTAAGGCTCTGGATGTTGGGGGGCTGTGTTGGCTAACGCTGTTCTGCAGCATTGCTTGGACATCAGGGGAAGTTCCCCTGGATTGGCAGACTGGGGTGGTGGTCCCTCTATTTAAAAAAGGGGACCGGAGGGTGTGTTCCAACTACAGAGGAATCACACTCTTAACCTCCCTGGTAAGGTCTATTCTGGGGTTCTGGAAACGAGGGTCCATCGGATAGTCAATTTTCGGATTCAGGAGGAGCAGTGTGGTTTTTGTCCTGGCTGTGGAACACTGGATCAGCTTTTTACCCTCAGCAGGATTCTGAAGGGTGCATGGGACTTTGCCCAACCAGTTTACCTGTGTTCTCTGGATCTGCTGAAGGCATTCGACCGTGTCCCTCTGAGGTCCTGTGGGGGGTACTCCGGGAATATAGAGTACCGGGCCCTTTAATAGGGGCTGTTAGGTCTCTGTATGACCGGTGTCAGAGCCTGGTCCGCATTGCTGGCAGTAAGTCGGACCCGTTTCCGGTGAGGGTTGGACTCTGCCGAGGTTGTAGGCGCAGCCAAGGCGTTGAGGGCATCTGTCTTGGTGGCCTGTAAGATGATGTGGTCCTGTTGGCTTCATCTGGGCATGATCTACAGCTCTCACTGGAGTGGTTCACTGCTGAGTGTGAACCAGCCGGGATGAGAATCAGTGCCTCCAAATCCAAGACCATGATGTCGAGCTGGAAAAGGGTACAGTGCCTTCTCAGGGTTGGAGAGGATGTACTGCCCCTAGTGAAAGAGTTTAAGTATCTTGGAGTCTTGTTCACGAATGAGGGGAAGATTAAGTGAGAGATCGATAGGTGGATTGGTGCGGCATCTGCTGTGAAGCGGGCCCTGTATCGGTCTGTTGTAGTGAAGAGAGAGCTGAGCCAAAAAGCAAAGCTCTTGATTTACCGGTCAATCAACTTTCCTACCCTCATCTATGGTCATGAGCTTTGGGTCATGACCGAAAGAATAAGATCCCGGATACAAGCGGCTGAAATTAGTTTTCTCCGTAGTGTGTCTGGGCTCTCCATTAGAGATAGGGTGGGTGTAACCCATGTACCATCTAGTTAGAAGAAAAAAAAAAATTGCAGTTAATACAATGAGACTGGGCCTGGGCTCGTAGGTAAAATATAGTTTCTGTTATGATGCTTAAAAAAAAATTTGTACCATTCATTTGGTTTGCTAATTCAATAATGACCACCACAACAGGTCCTTTAAATGCAAAAATCCCTTAATAGGTATTTATTTATAAATAAAAGGAACAAGATGTGTATGTAACAATAAATGAAACTGCGCAGAATTATTAAGAACATGCATAAACAAAATCTTCAAAGAATACATTTTTTTCCTTGTTGTTTTAATGCCTGTTCTAAAAATTAAATGAAAAACTTTTTTATCTTCTGAAATAATATATCTTCAATACCATTTATGCACTGATCACTTTAAAACACTATGTTAAAAACACTTGAGTATTATGTAATAAAAAAAAAAAGATTCAATATATCTGAGAGACTTCAACTTACTTTCAAACATTGTTCTTAGATTTACACAAATTCCAAATGTAATAGGCCCACACACAGGCGCGCTGGAAGCTGTTTCAAGCGAGGGGGGCTGATGGCTGGGTTGGAAAACACATGACGTCATTATGTTGAGGGCTGTGGCTGACGTTTTTAACATAATATTGTAGGCCTACATTTGTCGCCAAAAACTGCCATTTAAAATGCATCGGAACAAAGCATGAACATTTTAAACTTTATTTCTTCTCTTTTAATCATTCAAAACAAACAACAGCTCCCAATCAACAGGATCAGGAATACTTGAATAAAACATGGCCTAAATATAGCCTAAACTGAGCATTGAACGTCTTGAAAGTCCATTCGACTATGGATATGGGGAATGATTTCATATCTGAAACAAAAATAAAACACAAAAAAAAACTAATTTCATATTTTATCACTAAATAGCTTAATACAGACATAAAATTTAGTGATATGCAGCCTTATTCTAGCGTAGACTTCTTCAGCCACATGACTTAGATGAATAGGCACATAAATAACGCTAAATGCGGCAGTATAGGGGAATTAAAACCATTTCTTACCTCGAAATAGTCAGAAATATGTTTCTGCTGCCTATTGCTAGCCATGCCTAAACGAATGTGAGGTGGCGGAACCTTCTGGGGGAGTAGCCTAGTTTTTTATGAAATATTAAAATAATGAATCATTAGTTTATATCTTATACACAGCCCATCATTTTAATCCCATATCAAACACAGTCTTTTAAAAAATAAATACATAAATAATTTCATGTTTTTAAGTACAATATTATGTTACTCCACAGCCCCCCACCATGGGGGGCTGATGCTATGACGAGGGAGGCTGCAGCCCCCGCAGCACCCCCCTTCCCGTGCCACTGCCCACACACATTCAGACCACATTGAGACCCAATAAATGTAATGGTCGCGTCAATTGAAGTAGTTAAAAGCGATAGCCTACATTGGGGTAAAAACTCCTCCTACATTGAAGGAAAATAAATGTGGGCGATGCCTCAAGAATAACTTTATACCAGGAGAAAATCCATCCTGCAGATGGATGTTGAGATTTTCAGACAGACACATGGGCGGACGGACAAATAGATGGATCTCTTTTTCTTATGAGTCAAATAGCTGTTAAACTCTAAGGTAAGCAAGCACATAGTTTCCCTTTTTATTTCATAGATTACAGATAGTTCAATTCAATTTCAATTTAGTTTATTTCTATAGCGCCAATTCACAACACATCATCTCAAGGCACTTTACAGTTCACAAGATCATACAGTCAAAATGATTCAAAGTTTTCTGTCTAAATGAAACCAGTTGATTGCATTGACTCATTGACTCGAATACAATCCCTCACACTAAGCATGATTGTAGCGACAGTGGAGAGGAAAATCTCCCTTTTAAGAGGAAGAAACCTCCAGCAGAACCAGACTCAGTGTGAGCGGCCATCTGCAGAGGCTGATTGGGATTCAAGCAGACAAAAGCAGAGATACAAATGGCAACTATACAGGGAGGATCAGATGATTAATTAGTTAATTAGATGATTTGCAAATGTGCAGTAGCACACATGTTGGGTGTAGCTCCAGTGATCAGTTGGAATTCCATTTGGTATATGATGCTTCAAACATAATGAAAAATAATGAAATAAACCATATTTCCAAGGCAGAGTCCTCTCTGATTTTTTATTTTATTTTATACACAATACACTGGGTTATAAAAACAAACAAAAAAGGTTTTCAATTTTTTTTGCATGATTATTCTTAAAAAGCTCAGCACTGGCTTTTTACAATGCACTCAGTCTTCAAACCAGCTGAAAATAAAAAAGATATTTTTTTCAGGTTATGAGAAGAAAAACAAAAAAATAACAATAATTTTACCAAAAATGTTATAGAGACTTCTTGTCTGCATTTTCTTGAAAATTTCTTGTCAAAATCTTCAACTAACATCCGTGCTTTAAGCGTAAATCACCAGGTAAAGATACTGTGAGGCAACAAAATGTCTAAAGTCTCGGGTCTCTAAGAGAATGAGGGAATTGCTGATGTTCTGTCATCAGATTGGTTGAAAGCCTTGGCTGGGCCCAACACGTAATTATTGGATATGGGACCCTCCCTATGACCTGTGACATGCCCCAAATGTAATCCTAGCTATTTAAATTCTTAAATGTTAATATTTTCATTTCATTTTTAAGGCTGACCTCTGACCCTGCATCTCCTCTCCACCACAGCATAGTTTTCTTTATGTTTTATGTTTTCTTTTAATATTGCACTTAAGCATTGAAATCTCAAAAACAGATGATAATAGAGGCTTATTAGTTTTAGATTAATGACAAAAACCTTGAAGGTTAAAAAAAAGCAGAGATAAACATGGAAAATATAATAGTTCTGAGTCTACTTTAAATATAACAGCAGGACAACATACTACTTATAAACTGCTTATTTTCAATAGTATTGATAAAGCTGTGCTTGCAAACTTGAAAGAGAATAAAAAGTTTCAATGAAAGTTCACTGGAGACCAAAGAATGCCTTTATGCATGGCACCCATCATCAGGCATTATCCTCATGATCTATCCTTTACCTTAGAATAATCTGCTGCATTTGCTTCTGCAAGACTCACTTTTCTGAAAAAAAGGACAAAAATTCAACAGAAAAATGAAATGACTATAAAGATTTTGAAACAGTTATTTTCTTTTCCCCAAACACTAGAAGAAAAGCTTGTAACTCAAAAAGACAGCATAGGAAGCAAGATATCTTTGAAGTCATCAGATGTGTCTAAGTGTTTATTATCTGCAACTGATGTCATCAAAATTTGCTGCAGAAACTGGAATTGACCTGCCCATTGCTTCAGAAATACCTGATCTGAGGAAGCACTGAATGCTGCTGCTGTCAGTTCCTGCAGCTCCTGTCTTCACCTGAGAGTAAACAGCGCCCCCCTCTGGTTTATCAGCAGTCCCTGATAAGGTACATACACAAAACACTGAGACAAGAGCTTTGAAATCAAATCTGTTTGAACACACTATGTGTTGAATAAACTCACTCTTATTTTCCAATTGCTTTAAAGAAATGAGGGTGTAAGTCACATTTTGGAATTCATGTGGATCTGAAAGACAAACAGACTTCCTTCATTCAATTCATTCACAGGCCATAAGTAACCATTTCATGCGCATAGCAAAAAAAAAGATAACTATACCATCTGCAGGGTCCTCAGATGCTCTCAGACAATCAGAACCTTTATTCAACGAATGATAAACTTTATTTTAGTTTTGCTTTTTAATGGAAAAAGCAGGATATTATGACATTAAAGAACCAAAAAAGGGTTAAAATCAATGGAAATCCAAGGATTAGTGATAAGATATACTACAGTAATTCTTAAAGCTAATGATACTGACTAGTTTGAACACGAACTACTGTAAGAACCTCTGTTTTTTATCATTAAGCTGCTTGAATCAGTGTTAAGTGATTGGTTCAGCACTATTCTGTGTTTTCTGAAGTGATCACATCGAAACACATTGAAGAATGTAAACATACAAAAAGCTATATTCAAAAGAGATTTATGTACTCTTGATTTTTTTTTTCTTAATATATTTAGTAATGCTTTGAAATATTAGTACATTTAAGCTTTTGTCTGCTTGGAAAGAAATAGAAATATAACACTAATACAAGTGGATAAAAAAGTGTCACCTTTGAACGGCTTGAGGCGACACATAAGGATCAGGAATATAATAAAAACCCCACCGATGACTGTTCCAACAACCAACAGCAAAGGAAATGAAGAGCTTTTCACTGTTGTAAATAAAACATCTCTTAATAACAATGTCACCCATCAAAAGGATTTAACAGGTTATTTTCATGATTATTTCAATAACAACAGCAAGAATAAAATGCTTACTTTGCTCACCTTTTACTGCCATCCAGCTCTGTGGTGAAGCTTTTCCTGAATGTTCACACTTGTAGAAGCCTTCGTCTGACTGAGACACTGCAGAGATCTTCAGCTCCCCTCTGCTGTCATTTTGGACCAGTTTGTCATTGTGATAGAAAAACACATTGGAAAGTGTATTTTGTCCTCTGAGTCTGCAGCTCAGAGTAACAGAAGCTCCCTCAGTCACAGGATGGACAGGGCTCACCAGGAGAACATCTCCATCTGGAAAACAGTCAGAATATGAAGTTTCAGTCAGAAATCAGCTGCTGCAGACCTTTAGAAGAGTGAAATATAATAATTTATGTCACAAAAGTAAACAATGGGATCCCTCTATAGAGGCCAAAGCCCTTGATGCTACAATCACAGGTTTATGTAAAGGCCCTTTGCAGGTGTCTACCTGCCTCTCTCTTAACATCGTTTCATGTTAGCTGACTTTCAAATAAAGGCCACTAGTTTCAAAAAAGTAGTTTTTATTTTATTTTATTTTATTTTTTGTAGTTTTTAGACTGAAGCTGGCTACCGGGCCAGGGTGTACCCCAGCTCTCACCCATAGACTCCTGGGGCGAGGCACCAGATCACTGTGAGTCTGACGGGTAAGATGGATGGATGGATGGATGGATGGATGGATGGATGGATGGATGGATGGATGGATGGATGGATGGATGGATGGATGGATGGATGGATGGATGGATGGATGGATGGGTTATAAAAAGTCCAATGCTATTTAATATTGCTGCTGTTTTAAAGACATGTACTGATGGTTATTTACAACAAAATTAAAGAAGTAACAGAGTTTGTCATGAGAGGATTGCTACATGAAAATATTGATGGTTAATTTTCTACTTGTTGATTTTATTAGCAATATTTAGATTGAAAATTACAGCTAACAACTCTTTAGTTCAAATATAACTGTTAATATAAAAAACATAGAATACAATGAAGTCAATAAAAAGTGCTGTTTTGTTTGACTTTGAAAGTATTACATAAATCGTACAGGCTAGGTCTACAGAACTAAAGACACAGATTGTTACCATTACAAACAACAAAGTCTCACAAAAGTCTATTAATTCCTAATTTATAAAACAAGCATTTTAATTCTACTGTCATAACAATTTAATTAATGGAAGATTTCAGTATAACTTTAATGAAATAACCTACTTTCTACAGTGATGTTGACTGTGTTGCTGAACTCCCCTGATTCCGACTCACACCAGTACACTGCTTTATAGGGCCAGTCACTGCTTATGTTGCATGTGGGTGCATTCATTTCCCCCCACTCAGTGCAGTATGATACATTTGACCAGTGAGCTGTTAAGATCCTCACTCTACTCTCAGCAGAGTTTTCTCTGCAGTTCACTGTTACAGACTCAGAGGTGAAGTGTTGCTCTCTGTCAGGACTCACTGTGAGAGACACTGCTGGATGAGGATCTGGAAAACAGCATAGAACAAATAATTAATTCAAGACGATAAAACGCCTTCATCTAATTTGTATGAAAAAGCACTTATATCTTAAAAATCATCCTTACTGTTTCTTTAAAGTGTAAAAGGCTTATTTTTATATTTGGTTTTATAAAAACAAACCATTATCAAATCAGTTTTCATGTCCAAACTTCTCTTCTTCTGGTCATTTTTTTTTTCATGTACTTAATTTCAAGTATCCTATACCTAAATATTAAAAAAAAAAAATATCAGTGGTTCTGTCAGTCTTGAGCTGTCTGAATGATAAAAAAATATATATCCCACTAACACTTTATTAGTAACACTTTTCTGAATATGTTTACCCTCTGTCTATTGATTGTGTTTCTGATCTTTTTTAGAGTCACCTTTCTTTCATAAATTCCAACTAAAAAGTATAACAAGCATTTTTGCTGGGAGTTACACCATTAAATTCCCCACATCTAAGTAAAGGGTAGAATATTATTTTAAGTTTAAAGAAAGTCAAAATATAAAGAACTGTCAAAAATATTGTCAAAAAGTGAAGTATAAAGCGACCTCAATTTAAAGGTCATAAGAAAAAATCTAAATGAATTCAACATGTTCGTGTTAGATACCAAAAAACACAGGACAGAAAATAAAACTGACCTGCAGACCAGACAAATTCTGGTTCACCGTAATCAGTTAAAATCTCTGGGTTTCCAATTCCAGCTCTACATGCATATCCTGCTGTGTGTCTCTGTCCACGAATGATGTAGGAGTCCTCTACAGTCCCACTGATGCTGTCAGCCAGCAGCTCATATTTGTAGTAGCTGTGTTTTCGATCAGGAAGAGCTTTACACCAGTAGAACCTCCATCCTGTAGATGGAGGATCAACCTTACAGCTCAGATTAACTGAGGCTCCAGGACTCAGCCATGATGGAGACACAGTCAGGGAAGCCTTTGGTTCTGTTGGACAAAGAAATATATTAATTTTAATTTGAAAATTATTAGCTATAAAGTGTTAGATCTAAAGTCCATATATAATATATAAACAAATTATCACACTGTCTATATTCACAAATTTGTGGATAACTGCAATGTTTCACAATATGGTAGGTATCTTATAGCCACTTTTGAAGAGCTCTATGAAATTGTTAATCATTTATAAATTCTTTTCAACTTGTTACAAAAACTCAAAGCAAACTTCTTCCTTAAAGAATATTCCAAAATAAAAACAAATGGTGGAACCATATCTGCCACAGTTCTTGGTTCTTTGATTTTTTTGGGCTTCTGTTGTTGTCACTATCTCTTTCTATGTGTATTTATAGTCTGGCTGCTGCCTTTTTTGCTCATCCATTGTTTACCAATGTCTTTATTTATTTGCATGATTTCTTACATTTAGAGCATTCTATTAGATTACAGCCTTGATAATCTTTTTCTATGAGCCCATTAATTCACTTGGCACTGAGCTCCCTCCTTAAACATTTGAGTCTGTAAATAAGATGACCTGCCAATGGAATGAGTATTATTACCCTTAATAATAGTTAATAATAATTAATTATTATGCACTTGAAACAAGAGCCTCCTGTTGTTTTCTATCATAATATCTATTTCCTTATTCCATTGTTAAAGTGTCTCACCTTTCTGCTTAATATAAATAAAAACACTTATTTTGAGAAAATTTGGCTTAGGTTTTTTATTTTTTTTGCATGGAATCTCCTTAGCTGTTGTCCATCCTCACCTGTTTTTCTCTTCAGTCTCTCTCTGTGTATTTTCTCTTTGGTTTTTTCTTTTCTTTGCTGAAACCTCTGGCCAATATGTGCATCATGATTCATGGTTTTGCACTTGTGTCCCTAATTCTCTGCCTGGTTCTCTATATAATCAGATTTATTTTTTTATTTTGTTTTTTTTTATTTTCTACAGTAAAGAACTTCATTTTTTCACTACCACATTTATTAAACCCTGCATTGGATCTTTCTTTCCCCAAACCATGACAATGTCCTTATTAAAAGCTGCTAAAAATGCTGTTAGTTAGTATCATGTTCCCTTTCTCTTCTCAATTAGGATTTTTTGTATGAGGTATTCTTTTGCTGTTTGTCTGAACTGATCTGATACATAATGAGGCTGCCTGATATTAAAACTAGAAGCTTCCTGAAAATAAATGTTCACCTTATTGAAAAAAATGCCTTAATTTCAAAAATCCTTTTTAATTTTGCTAAAAAAGAAACTCCTAATTTAAAGGAAGAGTTTGAGACACACCTTTAAAATTAAAAACGTTATAATCATTAACATTTAATAAAGTTTTATTTAATCTACTGCAAAATATGTTTTCAGCTTGTAGAAAAGGAAAATGTCAAATAAAGTTAAATTATTTACTATATTTACTATATTACTATATTTAAATAATCTTAAATAACAGTAAACAGTAATACATAATATAGATGTAATTTTTTTCTGAATCTGGTTATATTAATAGATTTCTAAGACCTTACTGTGTACAGTGATGTTGACTGCATTGCTGAAGTGTCCTGTTTCAGACTCACACCAGTACACTGCTCTACTGGACTCAAGACTTTTAATGGTGCAAAAAGAGCCAGTCATTGTCCCCCAACTGCAGCAGTCAGATAAATATAATGAAATTCCAGTTTTTTCAAACCTCCTAACTCTCCACTTAGCAGAATTTCCTTTACAATTCAACAGGACATTTTCTATGCTGAAAACCTTCAGTTTGTGAGGACTCAGGGTGAGAGATGCTGCTGAATGAGGATCTGAAATAAAAAAGGAGAGAGACACAAATCAAAGATAAAGACAATGAAAAGATCACTCATAGTTAGAGTAGAATAGAATAGAAAATAATTGAATAGAAAATCAATTCATTGTACCATAGTGGGGAAATAGTGGTGTTTACAGCAGCAATGGTTATAGTGAAAGTGATTAAACAATGTGCACCTTAGAAAAGTGTATAAAGATAACAGGAAAATAACCAAATAAAACAAACTGAGTATTGTACAGTGTTTTTTTAAAATACAAATACTCTGTATCTGGAGAACATAATAAATAACAGCTGTGGACATTTTTAGAGTAACTGATATGTGAAAAACAGCAGCAACACCAGAGATGTGCAAAAAATGACAGCAGCATGTGTTTTAACTGACTAAGACAGAAACTGTGCAAAAATCAGCATCAATGTAACAAGATATTGAGTTTGTTGGGAGCAGTAATGCTTATAAAGTCTTACAGCTGTTGGGCGGAAGGATCTGTGATAACGCTCCCTGGTGCATTTAGGGTGCAGCATGTGACTGAAGGAGCTTTAGTTATCAACTTTGCAAAGATTTATTCTACCCAACGGTGGTGTTATGTCATGCCAATTCAGAAAAATAATTTTCTCACTTAGTTTTTCAGAACTCCCCCATCACAATACGTTATTTCACTTCTTGTTTTTATAAAACTATTGTACCTTCTTACAATATTGCACTTTTTAGATGTTTAAACTTTGAAAAAAAAAACCAGAGATATCCATATTTTATTGTGTTCCTAAGGAATGTGAGAAAAATCATCCTTCCGTACATATAACATGACTGATAGTTTTTTTAATCCAAATTTCTGTTTACAAATGGTCTTTGGTGATTATATCATAAATAAAGAATATAAATACACTGATGAAAGTGGAAAACTGACCTGCCGACCAGGCAAACTTTGGTTCACTATGATCAGTTGAATACTGTGGGTTTTCTCTTTGAGCTCTACATGCATATCCTGCTGTGTGTCTCTGTCCATGAATGATGAAGGAGTCCTCTACAGTCCCACTGATGCTGTCAGCCAGCAGCTCATATCTGTAGTTCTCCTGGGAGCGATCAGGAACAGCTTTATACCAGAAGAACCTCCAATCTACAGATGGAGGTTTCACCGTACATTTCAGAGTTACTGAGGCTCCAGGGCTCAGCCATGATGGAGACACAGTAAGGACTGTCTCTGGTTCTGTTCGACAAAGCAATACAGTTTTTTAATGATAACATGTGCTATATATTGTGCTAGGCCTTAGTAGCATTGCTAAGATATTCTAATATAGCAATAGCTCGAAATATTATAACTTATAATTACAGAAAATACTTGTTTTAGCATACAACACTTAACAACAGTATTTTACTCCTTAGGTTGGTACTTTCATTAATAGAAAACAATGACAAAAAATATAAGAAATATTTCATCTTAGATGTCTTTGTTTAGTATTAATATATTACACAAAGGAAAATAGAACAAAACTCCAGAGTATATATTTTTTAGTTTAGCTGAAAAATAAAGTCAATTAAACAATAACTGAAATTAATGGGGAAACAGCTTATTTACATACTATGTAAGGTGACGTTGACTGCATTGCTGAATTCTCCTGATCCAGACTCACACCAGTACACGGCTTCACTGGGCCAGCGACTGTTTACTCTGCATGAAGATCCAGTCATCGTTCCCCAATTGGAGCAAACTGATAAATAGGCTGAAAATCCGGTTATTTCAAACTTCCTCACTCTCCAGTCAGCTGAGTTTCCCTGACAGCTCATTTGGACATATTCTAAGATGAAAAGTTTCTTTCTGTCAGGTTTCACAGTGAGAGATGCTTTTGGAAGAAGACCTGACATTAGCAAATGAAAAAAATGAACAAAATAAGTAAAATAGGAATTCATTTGCATCATCCGTATTTACTGTTTCTTTCCAATCATAGCACTGCTAGCAATCTATAAAATGTTGTAAATTAACAAACATTACAGATAAAATCTGTGATCAGAAATTAAAATCTGATTATGCAAAAAACATAGTTAACTTGGAAGAAAAAAAATTTATTAATACAATTTCATGAAGTATGAAAATTAATATGTGTTATCAAGTAGTATTGCTTCACCCAAACATTTGTTTAGCTGACAAAGGGAAACTCACTGACCTGCAGACCAGACAAACTTTGGTTCACTGTAATCAGTTAAACTCTCTGGGTTTGCTCTTCCAGCTCTACATGCATATCCTGCTGTGTGTCTCTGTCCATGAATGATGTAGGAGTCCTCTACAGTCCCATTGATACTGTCAGGCAGTGGCTTATATCTATAGTTATTGTTCTATAGATCAGGAACAGCTTTATACCAGTAGAACACCCAATCAGGAGCTGGATATTTAACCTTACAGCTTAGAGTGACTAAGACTTCAGGGCTGAGCCATGATGGAGACACAGTCAGGATCGGTCGCCATGCTGTTTGGAGAGAGATTATCATATATTTATTTTTTATTTTATTTTAAGTGCTCAAACTTTAAAATTTCACATGTTTAGATATCAATCTACAGTAGTACATAATTGAGAAGTGGGAGGAACATTCTAAATGTTGTTTAACTTTTTTTTTATAAAGAGAGGCAAGAATTTCTTGCAAGCTCGTTTCATTTTCTAAACCAGTGCTAACATTTACTTTAAAACTGTAGTCATGTAAGTAGCTCTCTGGTGCTTTGTGGGTTTGGGGTTTTGCAGACTTCCTGTTTTGCTTGCAACATAATATATGGCCTCTTTTTAGCTTTTTTAACTTGTTGACATTGTTTTTTTTGTCATTCATTCATCTTCACATAATTTATATAGTCAAGCCCTTGAGGAAATAAAATATCCTTTTCTCACCTGAAGAACCGGCAGAAAGCCTTTTCAAAAACCTATGAATATGGCATTAAAAACTGTGACTATGGCTAATTGCCATCAATTGGCCAAAAACTACAGACAAATATATCACTTGAAATTATTTTCTGAGGAATATTCATAAATAGAATATGCTTTTCAGACCTGAAGAACCGGCAGAAAGTCTTTTCAAAAGTCTATGAATATGGCATTAGAAACTGTGACTATGGCTGATTGCCATCAATGAGCCAAAAACTACACACAATTATATGAACTAAAACTATTTTCTTAGAATATCCATAAATAAATATGAATGCTAATTCGCAATTGGCCTAATGACTCATGGTTATAACAATGTAGGTTATTAAAATGATTGTTTAAGTGTCTATTTAAAAACATACATGACAAAGAAATCCTAGATGTACACAAGATGCCCTTGCCAATTGTGGTTATTCTGAATAACATCTAAAGAAAAGGACTGCCACAAGCCACATTGGAGACACAAAAAACATGAGGAAGCAGGTGCCCTGGTTAGGGGACAATATCTTTTCAAACGTTTTGACCTATATATAAAATCATATGTATCCCCTCAATGAATCATCATCAAAAAAGTGGGGGAGTGATTTTTTCAACAGTGCTTAAAATGTGTGACAGAGTTGACTGAATTAAATTAAATTCAGTTTATTTATATAGTGCCAAATTCACAACACATGTCATCCCAAGGCACTTTACAGTTTAACCAGATCATACAGTCAATGATGATACATAAAGCTAAATAAAAGGCTGTCCTGGTGGAAAACTTGTTAGAGGTTTCAAAATACTTGACATTAGGGTGAAGTTGACCTTGCAGAAGAATGAAAAACCTAAAAGATATATCAATGCAACAATCTTCAATACAACAGTTGAGATCGAAGCATCAATGTTAGTCTTGTAGAAATTCAAAATATAAAACAAACTGAGAATCTGTGGCAAGGCTTGAATATTGATGTTCACAGACAGCACCATTCCAGTCTCACTAAGCCTGTGCTAAAAATAATAGTCACATTTCAGTAGATAGGGGTACAGAAACACAATTTAAAATAAATTTTAAATTTACACTTAGTTTACATTTAGTTGCAGCACAAATTAGTTGTATGAATGATTTGCTTTGGGAGGCAATTATTCTAATTTCCATAATAAAAGCCTTTTTTTAAAATATTTACTAGTTTTTCTATATTTCTGACAGATGAGAAAAAATTAAAAGCTTAAGGATATAAAATATTTTAATGGTCAGTTACAAGTGTTAATAGTGTTGGAATATGGTTGTTTGATTTTAACTTAAGAAGGATAAATGATAAGAAAAAAATTTAACAGAGAAAACAATCTGATAACCAATTAACAGAAGAACTAAAGTCTGTTTAGTTACCTTGAATGTTTCCACAGCAGAGCAGTAAACTGAAAACTTAAACAGAAATGTACAGTGATTGTATTAGCTGATAATGGAAAACAGAAATTCAGTAAGATATTAAATGTAGTGCTTAAATCCCAATCTGAACCAAAACAAAACAGCAGTGAAAAAGCTGGTGTGTGCTCTATATACTTTACTGTTCTAGTGTGTATTTTTAAACTATATCAAAGAGGGAAAGTATTATACTTACAGTGTAGAGTTGGAACAAAGAGCAAGGTGTGGCCCATCTTCCTATCGAAAACTGACAAAATTATTTGGAGAAATATTTACATTTTTAGAAAAAACCCATGCTCGAACTAAAGCATATAGAGAGAGCCTTATTTCCAATAAGAGATCAGAGGTTTTCTAAACAAAATTTTCAAGTACTTCTCTTTCCTTCTTTTTAGTACTTTGCCAGTACGTCTGCAGTGGGTTTTTTTCTGCAGACCACTCTCACACTTCCTCTTTCCGCACTTTGTGACCAACAGCTAAGAAGTGCAAAGAATCTCTTTTTACACAGCTAAAAATGTGTTTAGTGCTTGCATTTACAACCTTATGCATTTGTTAGATTATTTTGCATGCTGAAAGATTTTTTACAGTGTTTTACAAAACAGTTTTTTATTTTACATGCAGAACACATGCTGCTTGGCATTGGGTGTAAATATTTCTAGACAACGATAAGGTCGTCTTACAGCTTCACAAATGTGCGAGGAGACAGATAAAGACAATACAATTAGATAGATCAGAGCTGTGTTTGTAATTCTATGTGAATCCTCTGATTTTCAATGAAGGTTAACTTTTTCGATATCATTCCAGTAGAGAAGTAATATATCAAACACTATCTCTGCGTCTCCTGTCTTGTGAGCTTCAAGCTAGTAAGAAGAAACAATTCACCTAAAAAGATGTGAACTTAAACTTGCCCTTAGATCATTGTCTTAATTTTTCGATGAAAGAAGGTGATGTTGCTGCAAAAGTCAAATAAGTGCGTGGGAGTGTGAATGGTTCAAAGTTACCTTCTTGTAAATGCAAGTATGGACCACAACCCTAGGTCTAGTCTCTTATGTTTCCTGTTTCAAGCTTTTTGACTACTGAGGAAATGTTGCATTACTTTATACCTCTTTAGCTCAAACCAAACATACATCTAAATAGTTTTAGAGACAAGTTATAAATCTAAATCATTATACCCAAACTTGTTCATGTTTTTGGTAGATTATATTAAACAAGTACATTCAAACATTTCTTTTTTTTTTTTTTTGAGAAAGGAATCTTTCTAAATTTGAGAAAAATATATATAAAAAATATTAATATCAAAAATTGTTATAAATATATTTTGGCATGACAGCAGTCAAATCCTTTGTTCTGTTTTGCAGAATGTCTTCCTGTCTTTATTGGTATTTTTATTATTTATCTTAGAGGATGTTCTTCATTACCCTAATCACCTGCTCCCTCTACAGAGGTAAAATCATATTTCTGTGAAGCAAAATTAATAAAGGAGTAGTTTGAAATTTAATTTAAACCTGAACAGAGTTTCCTACTGCCTTATAACACATGACACGATTCTGCTGACATATTTTGGCAAGGATAACTCTAAGTTAGTGGTTTCTACAGTTGTGTCTTTTTTCAGTTTTTTAGAGCTACTCAACATAGATGTAGATAGTTTAATTTCCGATCATAATGATTTGTCCACCTTAGTTTCAAAAATAACAAAAAAAAGACATAAAATAGAAATATGATCTGTACAGCAAATACAGAAAGTACTTTCTAGACTTTTTTTATTTATTTTTTTATTTAGCTCTCTCTCTCTCTCCCCTATATATATATATATATATATATATATATATATATATATATATATATATATATATATATATATATATATATATATATATATATATATATATATATATATATGTGTGTATATATATGTATATGTACATATATATATACATATACATGTATATATATGTACACATATATATTTTTAACGGTATTCATTGATCTTACCTCAGAGTTTTTTGCTTGGAGGTGGGACGTAATTGTACAATGATTGTAAATTCATAGTAAATTAATTTGTTTGCATTATTGTCACAGTAAATTGCTGGTCAAATTTAACACAACATACAATTACAGTTGTAAATCTACACTAATTTACAATCAACTTCTACATTACTTTCACAGTACACTGTAAAATTACAAGTTTATATTGTAACAATGTCCAGCAAAATGCTGTAATTGACAACTAATGTACTGTAATATCACAATATCTTTGTCGTTCAAGCTATAGAATTATGGTATATAGTGCTTTTACAATAAAGCATTGTAATATCACAGATATGAAATTACAGTAATTTGCTGTGAGTATATTTCACAGTTTACTGCTGTAATCTTTACTGTGAAAGTCATGCAAAACATATCCAATGCTAATTTACTGCTAATGAAAATTAGCAGTAAAATGTTTTCAGTGTAGCTGATATGCCGTTTAATGGTATGGCACTTACATATTCAGTATGTACCTTTTCATGCATGTATACCAGAGTGGTAGTCCTTGGGAGTGTGTGGGACTTGAACTCAGAACCTCCGAGTCCCAAGGACAAGGCTCTAACCACTAGGAAACCAGTCCCCTGAACAGATGATGACTAGCTACAACGTAGCTATAGCTGCACTGTGGCTTACTGAAGCAAGGCTGCCGTACACGGGCACCACAACACCTTCTGACAACCATCTGTATGCAATGTGGGTGATGTGTCATGCCCAAAGAAACAATGACACCGAAAGTCAAAGTTGGAGTTTGACTGGTGACCCTTTTGTTGAAAGGAAAAATCCTGAATTCAATGCTACTGTCGCCCCCAACAAGGATAGCTTTTAAAACTTCATGTTGACATGTGACATGGTGGGGATTGACAAAAAAAAGAGAATCAAGACAGACAAGGGAAATAGCAATATTGATAACAGTGTGTCTGTCCGACTGGACGTTAAAAGAGACAGAAGCTGACATACTGAACAAACATAGAAGCGCTGTATGTATAAATATGTATAAATACTTTCTATGGTAGATATAGCAAGAGTAACTAGCTCAACAGGTGGCTCAATCTTGAAAAGAAACAGTGGGTAGATGAGCACTTAGTCAGGTTACATGTTTAAGGAATGAAAGAGAGAGGATACAGAAGGAAGCAGAGTGATGAACTTTATTGTCTGATATCAATTTATTCCCTTCAAGATGAGGTGACTAACTCTGGTTCAAATACAATAACTTCTGTTTTTTCTCCAATTATGAGCAGAAAGTTAAGTCATATAGGTTTTTTTATGTATTGAAGACATGCCTGTAGTCTTTGATAGGGGTTAGTTTCCTCAGGATTTCTGGACATAACTCTGGAGCATGTAAATGATTTATCATTAGCTTGAACAAACTGAAACCTTTCAGATAAATTAGTCTTATGCAAGCCAAGTGCTGTTCCTTTAATCCATACAGAACGTCCATATCTTTCCGAAAGAATATTATGATAGAATGTATCAAATCCAGCATTGGGATCTAGCAGTACAAGTTCAAATAAAAGTTTATCTTAGGCAATGATTATGGAGCCTAGGCAGTTCAACTGCATAAACTGATTACTCGCCTTCATCCGTCTACGACACAGACAATCAGCTTTGAACCACACCTCCACACATGCCAATTAGCATCCAAAGTTTATCCTAAAAGGCCTCCGATCCGCAACTCTTCTGCTACCTATTGCATAGGTGGTGATTGAGCTGTGTCAGACTTCATTCAGATGACCCCGTGTTACGGCTCCCCCCCTTTACTGGGGAGAGAGGGAAGTAACTTGACAGCCACAAAAAAATTCAGAGACCAAGTGAATGTTAGAAAAGAAAAATCAGGGATTTATTGGTTACAGAAAATCCCAAGCAACTTATACTAATGGTGGGGGAGAAAGGGACGATTAGGTGGTGCCAAATCAAAGAAAATAATAAAAACAAAAACAGGGCCTACCTACGGTCTAAGCTACATAAAACAAATGAAACAATAACCCTGCTTAACTAATCTAACAAAAAGATTCACCAAAACTTTACAAGGGTGGCATCCACCTACTTACCTTGTGTGTTTAACAGAAATATTCCTACGTGATGAGATATACAGGGTACCCCAACCTTACCTTGTCCACTAACTCCCACCAGAGACCATTAGACACACAGAACAAAACATGCAGCAAGCAAGCCAAGGAAAAAGGGGTAGGATCTCTAAGTGGCTTGCTTATATAGGACCTCCCTGGATCCTGATTGGTCCAAAGGTGGAGAGAATCAATCAAGGGAAGAAGGATCCCAGCTTCTGCTACCTGTGTAGAAGCAAAGGGGAGGGGGGGGGAGGGGAAAGAAAAACAAACAGCCTGGCAGGCATGTAACACCCCCACCCTTATAAGTCCAAACATAAATGTTTGGAATGCACAAAAATAAAAAACCTTAAGCTTAAAGGGCACGTGACAAAGCATCTGCCAACACATTCTCCGACCCTTTCTTGTGGTAGATTTTAAGGTTGTATTCCTGAACGACTAAAGCCCACCGCATAAGTCTTTGATTCTGGTTGTACATCCTGGAAAGAAAGACAAGTGGGTTATGGTCTGTAAAGACAGTTATGGGTTTCATACTCAAGCCGAGGTAGGCTTCAAAATGCTTTAATGCCAAAAGTAGTGCAAGCGCTTCCTTCTCAATAGTAGAATATCTACTTTGATGATGAGTAAACCTTCTTGAGAAGTAACTTACAGGGTGCTCTATTCCATCTTTATCATCCTGTAGAAGAACAGTTCCTACCCCAACAGCACTGGCATCAATGTCCAGTTTAAATGCCAGACTGAAGTTTGGGGCAGAAAGAACAGGAGAACAAGTGAGCAATCCTTTAAGTTGTTCAAAAGCATGCTGACATTCATCAGACCAAGTAAAAGGTTTAGAGGGGCTTGTCAAAGTTGTTAAAGGGGCTGCTACAGTGGAAAAGTTTTTGCAAAAGCAACGGTAGAATCCAGCCATGCCCAGGAATCGGCGGAGCTCTCTTCTACTGGTAGGAACTGGAAAGTCAGAAATGACTTTGATTTTAGCATCCACAGGACATACCTTTCCTCCCCCAACCTGTTGGCCAAGATAGAGAATGGTAGCTTTGCCAAACTCACACTTTGAAAGATTGAGTGTCAGTGAGGCAGCTGAAAGGCGTTTGAAGACCTCAAGCAAAGTGGCAAGATGACTAGACCAGTCATTTCAATACACAACAATGTCATCTAGATATACCCGGCAGTTTGGCACATCACCCAGTACTTTATTTACAAGCCTTTGAAATGTGGCCGGAGCATTACACAGCCCGAAAGGCATCACTGTGTACTGGAGAAAACTGTCCGGTGTGACAAAAGCTGATATGTCAGAGGCTTCTTTTGTTAG